GTCGGCGCCATACAACCAATGCATCTTTTGAGAAGCACCGACTCCCGCGGCTCATAACATTGGATTCAACCAATTTTGCAGAATGATTATTTAGATGGCAGCGCTCGGCCAACATAAAACATCCTGATTACATGATAGTGCTCGACCAATACAAAACCTCCAATCAATCAGCAGATTCGCAGATGACCGTTGCCGATAAATTAACCCGGCGGTTGGTGCTCTACAAGTGATCGGTTTAGCCTAACCTGCAACATAATGAACCTCGCTCCACTACTTACCACATGCACAAAATACAAAAAACATAACGGTGTTAGCAACCTATAGGTTACCCGTTTATACACCTCGTTTTTTTTTTTGGCAAAATTTATTCCGCGCCCCTCCCAAGTTCAGTGTGTATTTGCATTGCGCCACTCTGACGGCCAACTTACATTAATGCGGGGAAGTGGTTAGTGGTTGCCGACCTACCTGGGGGCATGTGTACCCAGTGGGACCCTAGCCCTACGAGAGATTGAACTCGTGCAACTTAGGTCAGTCTAAGATGGAAGCTCGACACCTGGATGGATCTCTTGCCAAGTAGGAAGCATGAGCAGAGCAGCGAAATAAAACCACCCGACTAGCTATAAGACCGATACAGACCGGCGTGTGACCAAACCAAGTGATGCAGTGAGGAACTTTAGATCAGAGTAGGAGTTCAACAGCCGGAGGTATCATGTGTGAAGTGCGCAGCATGGGCAAGAGCAGCAGGTGCTCGCTAAATAACCTGTTTAACCCTAAGATCGGTACTGACCGGTGTGGAACACAGCGGGGTGACGCAGCGAGGGGCCTGGAAGTCATGAGAGGGACCTTATATCTGGTGGCCACACCGTCCTCTCTATGGCGTTAAATAATTTGTGAGGACATAGCTGACAATCCTTGAATCGCTGGTTGACCACTAACACTACTTGATACCTGAGTGATCTTACGCGGAAAGGAAAATCAGGTTTGGTCATCCCTTAGACTAGATTAGGATTAAGTGTTGAGGTGTGTAAGTGTTGAGAGCTGACCCGACTAAGTATACGCGTCGAGGTGGAGTGACTTACCACGGTTCCGACACATCACCATGGATGGCTACCTGTGTTCGCGCCCCTTTCTCGTGTTCATCATGCTTTGGGAGTCGTTGCTCCGCTTTTTGTTCCCCATAAATTTATTTCGAACCAATAGGCTGAAAATCATTAAACCACTAGTACCTCCACGTTTTTAGGCCGTTAAAGCGGTCGCTGAATCGGTGCGCCGTGCGGGTCCATATGCATTTGCATCAGAGCCTCACCAGAGGGGGCCTAAGACCCCCTGGGGCACTGGTGGTTTAAGCATAGGTCCGGAAAGAATACCCTGCAGCCAACAGATCCAGTGTATGAGGAGGCGAAAGAGTGAAAGGAGGCGGAGAAAGGAGGAAAAAGAAAGAAAAAGAAAGAAGGAAGAAAGAGTTGGAGGAGGAGAAGAGGAAATCTCTATACTATTAACGCACGCAAAGGGCCCAGCGTAGGGCCCCGCAGAAACTGGGTCGGCACCACGTGGGCCGAGCAGGACACTCAGGGGCCGACGGAGGGTCCACCCCCGCACCAGGAAGTGAATCACACTGGAAGGCCCGGTCGGGTGGCAGGGGACGGGGGCGGCCCGGTCAAACTGTGGTGGGGCCGGTTGAAGTACGGCGGGGGCTTGGAGTCGAGGGGGCGGGGCCGAAGCGGGAAGTGGCATGAATGCTGTGGCGGGTCCACTTGTTGGATTAATAGATGAAGCAAGTGGAAGAAGAAGGAGGAGGAGCAGCATAAGAAGGATAAGAAGAAGGAGGAGCAGCATAAGAAGGAGAAGAAGAAGAGGAAAGAAAGAAGGGGGACGTAACAACAGTGGTACTGGCTGAAGAGGTACCAGAGACCAAGCGCTGAAGGTCCTTTCTCGTGTTTTTAGGAATAGAGGAGAAGCTTTCCTTGCAATTTATTCTGTCCTCTGAGCATGCCGGAAGGTGTCCCCACTGGGTCGGCACAACTTCGAGCTGTCGTTTTGGAAGCAGGGGAAGGTACTGCCGGCCACCGTGATGTTTGTCTTTTGGTATCTGAAAACTAACAAAAGGGGAAAAAAAAGAGCGCTGGAAAAAAAATAAAAACATGATATAGTGACTCATTGGGGAATCACGATATCTAAACATACCAATTATGCTGTACCAGGAAAGACTATGAACGTATCTAGGCTACGTTTTGACTGTTGTGCACTTTTTTTTTGGCAGGGGCATATTGCAAGAAAAAAAAGAAAAAGACGAAAAAACAGCACCTGACAGTTGGAACCACTCTTTGACATCCTGTACTCCGCCATAAAAGCCATTAGGGCATCGCTCCACTAACAACATGCACAAAAGACAAGAATATGGTCGTGTATCTTTTCATGTTCTAGTGGAAGATTCATTCTCATTTTGCACATTTGGTGAGTAGTGGAGCAAGGCCCTAATCATTAGTCTTATTGACTTACCGTGAGGGCATGGGTGCGCAGCCCGTAGTTTGTTTGTTGATGTCGTTGGAGAATGGTAAGGTAGAGATTCTGGTGTATGTTTTGTCATGTTCACTATACACAACTCGAAGAGTGTGTGTGGGGGGGTCCCGGTTGGTGCTTTATTCACATGTGTGTGGGGTACTGGTTGGTGTTTTATTCACAATGTTCATGTGAAGCTGGACCCAGTTTCCAGCAGGTGGCGCTCCCCACCAATAGACAGGAGAATGTGTCTGCGTCTATGTGTGTGTGTGTGTGTGTGTGTGTGTGTGTGTGTGTGTGTGTGTG